AGTTTTTACCAAACACAGGAATCTAACATTCCCAGTAATCTAATATTCCCAGCAATCCAACATTCCCTAAGGTAATATGACATTCCGTGAACCAAACGGCCCCTATGTGTTTAGTTTGGATTGTGGAATATAATATTACCTCGTTTGGTTCAAGGTTATATTTTAAGTTATATGGATCAATTTACTCTAATATCCTCAATTATATATATATATATATATATATATATATATATATATATATATATATATATATATATATGTATGTATGTATGTATGTATGTATGTATGTATGTATGTATGTATGTATGTATGTATGTATGTATGTATGTATGTATGTATGTATGTATGTATGTATGTATGTGTGTGTGTGTGTATTTATTTATTTATATTTATGAATGTATATCAATGCCTAAATATTAAAAAAATTATATATATAAATATACACACATGTATATTTGATTATATAAACATATATTTATTTCATTATTATTTTTATTATTATTATTATTATTATTATTATTATTATTATTATTATTATTTAAAGATTAGTTAACAAGGGCAAAGTTGTAATAATTCAAGGTAATCTAAGATTACCTAAGAAAATGGGGGTAATCACATTATCTTGAAACATTACCGCCATATCAGCTTTCAGGTAATATAACATTACTAGATATTCTCATAATTTGAACCAAACAAGGTAATATAACATTACCAGACTCAGATTACCTAGGTATAGTAATATAAGATGGCTTGAACCAAACGCCCCCTTAAAGAAACGGCGCGCGTTACAGTTAACGGAGTGTGTATTTTTTGAATATTAATTACCAACTGAAACTACAATGTATCTAAACTGACACTTCCTCACATATTATTTTTATATTATCAAGTGAAACTGCAATTGAAATGAAATGAAACTGTAGTAGTATTGAAATGAAACTGCAGTGTATACAAAATGAAAATGAATAACAATTTCACATATTTGAGTGTATATTACCATCGAAACTGTAGTTATATCAAAATGATACTGTAGTTGTGTGGAAATGAAACTACAGTGTATATAAAATGAAACTGAATAACATTTCACATATTTGAGTGTATAAATATCGAATGAAACTACAGTATATACAAAATGACTAAATAACAGAGTTACTTTTTGCGGAATGGTAGGAAACGGGTGCCATTCCTTTCATTAAACAAAAGGACATTACTGCTGGTGAGACTTCTTGATCCCGAGTCTTTGTTTTCAAACTTCACCCTTGTGACCAACTAAGCTTTCCATGCGAACAATTTATGTTCCATTGTTTGATTGATGGAAAGCAAAAGAGGTTGTTTGGTAGTTAATCAAGTTTAAATTTTGCTAATAATGTACATTATGCTTTAGAATAATGTACATTATGAGTTATAAAAATGAATGTTGCAGATGTGCGCGTGAAAAAAAATAAAATTAAACAAAACGATGTTGTTCTTGGACTGTGGTCAACACAGTCACAATAACTATTGTATTTTGGGGGTGTTTGGTTGGTGTGAATTGAAATTCAATGCCAATGTAATTCTATGAAATGAGAAACTATATTGTTCGGTTGGATGGAATTGTAATTCCATACTAAATTGTTTGGTTATTCAATAGATTGCAATTCATAGTCTCCACCGTATGAATTATAATCCAGCCACACAAAAGAAAGGAAAAAAAAAAGAATATATTTATTATTATTATTATTATTATTATTATTATTATTATTTAGCAGAAAACTTCAGACTTTATGGATGAATCAAAAGGTGGCAGCAAACCCTCGATAGTCATACAAAAAGACGACTTGCACCAAAACCGGCAAAGACGTAAAATCAAAAAACAAAGAGGGAGAGGACCGATCTAAGCTATAAGCAGCTAGAGCACACCCAATTCTTATACCATGGACCAGAGTTCATATTTCATTGTGAATTGTAATACAAAAATTTTAACCTTCAATTATCACATTCTGTATCTACAGTTAACAGTTTCTGTACATGTAAACAAATGTAAATCTGATACAAAAAATTTATATTTTCAGTTAACACATTATGTACATAGAGTTAACAGTTTCTGTACATGTAAACAAATAACTTGATAATTGCTAATACATAATAATCTGAAAATTATTTTTGGACCAAGGTTTACAATGCAAGGTACACCCTGATTCATGGTATAATTTACCAAGCATGAACACCAACCAAGCGCAAATTCATTATTATTATTATTATTATTATTATTATTATTATTAGACAAAAGACAAAGACAGTTTAGTTTATATCACTTATTCCCTTTTTATTCCTAATAAGTCTATTCATCTCTACCAAATAATGTAATTTAAATTTCTACTTTATTCTTACCTTATTCTTTTCCTATCAAATTACAATTCATTTCCTGTTTTTTTTTTTTTTTTTTTTGACAAACAATTCATTTCCTGTTTAATTCTTTCTTCTCTCAAAAATGGTCAAAGCAACCAAAAGTCATTTGCAATCTTTAGAATTGGTCTATAAAATGTTAGCTATATATATAATATACCAACTTGCTGTAGAAACACAAGAAAAATGCCAAGGGATTGATTAAAAAACAATATGGTTGGTGTGACTATTATTATATGGGAGGCAGGTTCTTTGTCTGATTACCATTGTTGGCTTTCTGATCCGCCATGGTTTATGTTAGATGTCTTACTTGCTGATAATGAAAATTAAGTTCTTATTTTGCAAAAAATAAAAAAAAAAAAAAAAAAAAAACTATTTTTATCCCTGACATAATTGTTAAATACTGATGGAGTAGCGATGTAAAATTTGAAGAAATCTTAATTGATTGAAGTTGTTAAAGTCTCCAAAAGTGTCTTGAATAATTTTCTTGAAGTTTTGGGTCAAATAGTATCCCAATAAGGTTAAAATTCCATTTAAATAGAGGTTCACGACCATCGATCGACATGCTCCCAACGCAAAGCAAATCAAATGTTCATAAAATGAATTGACAAGAAAACTGTTGCTAATGAATTGCTAGAATTGATTGATTCCAAATTATCATATACCTATTACTTAGTTAGCTTTAGAGGAGGTGCACAATTAATGATCAAACTCAATAAAAACTAACAAAAGCCTTATGATAGCAGAACACCAAACAACACCTAATGTTTTCTTAAAGAATTATTAATGGTAGAAATGGCAAGGCAGAGCTATGTAATTGTCACCATTCAAATTTTTTATTTATCAAAAAAAGTCATTTGTAATCTGTAGAACTGGTCTATAAAATGTTAGCTATATAACATGCCAACTTGCAGCAGAAATACTAAGAAAAAAGAAAAAAAATGCCAAGTGATAGATTAAAAAAACAATAGTGCATATATGGTTGTTGTGAGTATTATTATTATTATTATTATATGTAGCATTCCTTTATTGCATTCTCTGTTATGAATGAATAGAAAATCTTAGAATAAAATGCATGATTTGTCACCATTACCAACTTGCCAATTATTTGTACACTTTAATAAATATTTGATTAGAAAACGATAATTTTGACCTTTAATTTATAGTGATCTAGTCTACTTTTTTCCCCACAATAATAAGCACATCATATTTTTCTCCCCAATTATCCTCAAAATTACTAATTTTATCCAATTTTAAACATAACTATTAAAACTTGACTGAGTAGGCTAGAAATATAAAATTTTAAAGACTTCTATCATCCCTTTAATTATCCTCCCAGCAATCGAATAAATTATCTTATCCCTTTACCTAACCACTTAAATTACATAAAAGTCATTTGACTTTTAAGTTTCTAGACTGTTCCGTCGATATTTGTCAATTTTGCTAAAGGTTTTGTAAAATTAGCTACTTTTAGGACAATTGAGAAGGAAACGTGGCGGATCTATAATTCAAAGGTACGGTCAAGAGTGTCACATGTAATTAAAATGCAACAAACATGAAATATTTAGTTTCTCGTAAATAAAATTTTACGAGTATTTTTTTTTTGTTTTTTTTTTTGTTTTTTTTTTTTTGCATAGGGCTCCTGTAGACTGTAGTACCAACTACCCCAAGAAAACAAGAAAACAAGAAAACAGTTTCATACAAGCTTACAATACAAATAATAAGAAATGTTTGGTGTCCAATTGGGAAGCTAAGAAGTAGTAGTCATCATGATGATATACTTTATACCAAATAGCCAATTTAATTTCTATCTGAATTTGTTTACTTTCCTCTTCCTAGTTTGGCTTTAAGCCATTATATTCTTTTATATACTTTATGTCACCTTTAATTTGTTGTTGCAATAACCACCTTTTGGATAGTACAGTAAAATAGTCCTTGAGACAACAAAGCATTCAACATTGTTTAAGTTTAATTTTTAAACATTCAAGTTATTAGTTATTATCTTATATTGGTTCACTCATTTAGAGAATTGAAGTAATTTGGACTATGATAAACACTCATCAAATCGGCCTTATTCAGCAATGATGAACTTATGAACATCAGCCAGGAACCTACAAGCTGAAAGATAAAATTGCAATGAAGTCTATAAATAAAATTAGAAAGTAATAGGCAATTAAGTGCAAAAGATAATATGGAGTTTAACCACAAATTTCATAGATATATACTTACACACTTTGGCTTTCATAAATTTATAATAAACCCAGAATTAAAGAATTCCTCACTCAATTTCTTCTTAGATATTACAACAATTTCCTATTCAATTCTTTGAATGCATTCAATGATTTCGACAACTTCTTCTTCAGATATTTCATCACTCTCTTCCGAGCTTTTAACCTTTTCTTGATGAGAGCTTTCAACACTTTAATTCTTTAGACCTTCCCACTCTTTCTTCTTTAGAGCTTTCCACACTTTCTACTTCTTCAGAGCTTTCATTATTTGGCAATTCAACCTTGAAAAATAATTGAAAATGAGTACAAAAATAAATAATTAAATTAATACATTGAATTAGAAGATAAAAATTTATATTTTGAATTAAGGAACAAGAATTAGAGAGAAACCTTAGAGCTTCCCACACTTTCTTCTTTAGAGCTTTCCACGCTTTCTTCTATAGAGCTTTCCACATTTTCTTCTTCAGAGCTTTCTACAGTTTCCTCTTCAAAGTCTTCATTATTTGGCAATTCAACCTTGAAAAGTAATTGAAAATAAGTACAAAAATAAATACTTGAATTAACGTGGAATTAGAAGGTAGAAAACTACTGTGTAATATTTTGAAATAATGAACAAGAATTAGAGAGAAACCTTAGCTTGGAGCTTCCTGTGCATTCTTCTTCAGAGTTTTCTACAGTTTCGACTTCAAAGCTTTCATTATTTGGCAATTCAACCTTGAAAAGTAATTGAAAATGTGTACAAAAATAATAACTAATTAAATTAATACGTGGAATTAGAAGACAAAAAACTAATATTTTGAAATAACGAACAAGAATTAGAGAGAAACCTTACTTGCAATTTTGCAAACACGAAGTGGACAATCTGCCCTTCTCTCAAATAATAATTTCTTTACAGAAGAAATCAACTTTGCAGAAGTCACAAGAGATGAATAGCAACATTCTAACACAATTAACTTCAGTGTTCCAATATTTGCAAAATTAATTGGAACTTGTTTTAATTCCCAACAATATTTTAAGACTAAGCGCTCCAAAACTGGGAAATGATTAGAACTTGCATTCCAATGTTCAAGATTTGAACGTGAAATGAGAAGTGTCTTTAATTCCCCAAATCCCTGCTCTGATGGTTCCCACGTTGAGCCGTAGAAGGCGAAATCTTTTAGTTTCAGCACCTCAAGGTGCGGCAACTTACCAATTGTGTCCATCTCCTTCCATGGAAGATAAGTATAACGAAGTGTCAACTTCTTAAGGTTTGGTGGAAAACCTGTTGGAAGACAAAAGCACTCGACAATTCCTACTTCAAACTTCAACTTCTCAAGTGAATGTAAATGGACAAGGCTCCCTAGAGGGCTAGGCGCCAATTGGCCTTCAATGTAAATCCCAAATTCCATTAGGCTTGGAACCATTCCGAAGTTTGGTTTTTCGTCGGAGCTAGCAACTTTCAACCAATAAAGAGTTTGTAGATTATTTTTTACTAAGCAAGGGAGATATTGTGAACATCTCTAGTCAACATGCAAATGCCTCAATTGTGGCAAATCCAAAATATTACATCCCATTTGTAAAGGACATGTTTCCATCCATGAAGAAACTATGAGACTAAGCAAATTTTTAAGCTTAAAAAATCGAAGCTTGTAAAGAGAACCAATAGTACTTAAAGCCAAGTATCTCAAATTAACCAAATCTGTTATTTCACTAGGCATTCCTTGTGAGCATTTCAGTAATGATAAATCCAATACTTTTAGAAATTTCAAACATGGGTATACCAACCTGCATTTTGAATGGCATACATCTTTACCAAAGTAGAGCACAGAATGGATATTATCTAGTGTGCAGTTCCCATAACTTGCTTGAGTGATTGGCCAATGACTTGTTTGACAACTTAACCACCGACTAGCTTTTGAAGCATGATTGTCGCCATTGATAATGCACAAAGTATTCCCCGTAATAGCTTCTCTCACACAAACCTCGTGCACTCTATCATGAACCTTACATAATTTGACTTTGCCATCAGTACTTAGCTCATTAATTTGGACTAGATTTCTATTAATGAGATCATGCAAGTATCTCTCTGCCACTTCTTCCAAACTCATATTTTTATGTGGCAATAAAAATCTCTCAGCAACCCATAAGTTGATTAATTTCTTAACAGGAATGACATTATCTTCAGGAAACACACCCAAAATATTGAAAGCGATCTTTCAAGTGACTAGGTAAGTAGTTGTAGCTCAATGAAAGCATTTTTGAAATTCTGGTGTTGTTATCAACTCCATCCAAAGTTTCCTCAACATTTCTCCATATTTCTAGAGACTCTTTTGCCTTAGCCAAAAGTCTGGCATTCACAACAACTCCTAGTGGTAATCCACTATAACCAAGAACAATGTGTTTCCCAATTTACTCATATTCCCTGTGGTAAAGTGGTGAACATGAAAGTAGGCAGTGTATTGAATGGCAAAAATTACAGAGCAGAAAGCAGATACAAGCTTATATATCTGAGCTATGGGGAAGAGGGTTATAACCGTAAGAAAATAAAGTGAAGTTACATTGATGCCCTTTCATATTTGATATTGCGTTGATGTCCTCCTTCGTCAGCCCCCCCCCCCCCCCCCCCCCGGGTATGCTGGAGCATGCAAATCTTGGATGCCTAGCTTAGAGTAGAAGTTGTGAAACATGGTAGTAGGAAGAGGCTTGGTGAAGCCATCTGCTACCTGACTTGCTGAAGGGATGGATAGCAGCTTGATCAAGCCTTGGGAAACCTTCTCAAGGACGAGGTGACAACCGATTTCAATGTGCTTCGTCCGTTCATGAAAAACATGGTTCTCGGCAATTGCCACAGCCAATTTATTGTCACAAAAGAACACAGCTCGCTTCGTCATTTGAACATGCATATCTTTCAGCAAATAAGCAATCCATTGTACCTCAGAAGTAGCAGTAGCGAGAGCCCGATACTCAGCTTCGGATGAGGACCTCGAAATTGTGGGTTGTTTCTTCGACCTCCAGGAAATCAAGGCTGCTCCAAGGTATATACAGAAACCAGTGACTGATTTCCGTGAATCCGGGCAAGAAACCTAATCAGAATCAGAAAATACATTGACTTACAAGTCGCCACCTTTGGGATAAAACAAACCTTGTCTGGGAGCTCCTTTGAGATAGCGTAAAACTCAGTGGGCTGCACTCAATTGTTTGTCAGTGGGTGCATCAACAAATTGGCTAAGTTGATGAACAGAGTAGGTAATGTCTAGACGAGTTGCTGTTAGGTACAATAAACGCCCAACCAGCCGTCTATAGGCAGTAACATTAGTGAGCAGAGCATAGGTGTAGCAACAGCTTTGCAATCGAGGAAACCGGCCTCAGCAAGGATGCCAAGGGCAATGTGACACCCCGTAAATCCAAACACTAATTGAGCATTAATTGAAGAATTAATCCAAGTTTTCCTTGCTAATCTATTTCTAAAAATCCTGAAATTTAATAGTCGAGGGACTAGATTTTGACTAGTTACTTAAGTCAAAGGGTTGTACCTTGTGTTTCTTGAGTTGTGCCCTTGTTCCCTTGTCTTTCCAACATTAGTAAGGGTAGGAATGTCTTTTTACCTAAGAATTGTGATTCAAGCTAACCTAGCAAGACTCTCTCATTTCATTCACCCTTCAACCTAAAACTCTAAAACTCTAGCCTCTCTCTAAAATGATTTAGCTTCTTCTCCAAGCTAGAAATTGAGCATCCAAGCCTTGCAAGATTTTCTTCCAAGATTCCTACTTTCTTCATCTTGAGCATAGGAAAGGGTAAGATCCTTAGCTTTTTGGTGTTTTTTTAACCTTCTTTTAGGTGTCTTTTTTCTAAAAGTTATGATCTTTGTTGTGTTTTGTTGTGTGTAAGGAGTTGGTGTGGAACAGGAGCTTTAGGAAAGGCTTTTAAGGGTGAAAAGAGGAAGTTGTTAGGCTACAAAGGTATCCCATATTGAGTGAACCATCTCCTTTAAATATTCAAGATATTATTGTCATCTTTACACATCTCCTGAACTTATCTAACATGTGCATGTGATTCAAGTCATTAATTGGGCATAACTCTTACACTCATTTATTCCGCTGTGCAGTTCAATTTCAATACTACTCTATCTACTTGTTATTTAGAATTGAAATTTCAAAGAGTTATTTATTGTGAAAAAGTTTAAAAGTCTATTCACTCCCCCTCTAGACTTTTACCACCCTATCGGGATCAACAATTAGTATCAGAGCGGTTGTCTATTTGAGTCAATTTTGACTGCTAGACAGATCTCGAAAAATCAAGATGATGAAAAGAGATATGGCCCTTGCCCAAAATCTATTGTTTTCCTTAGAGAAATTTGATGATTGGAAAATTCGCATGCAGGTACATCTATCCGCATTACATGATGAAATGTAGGAAGTGGTTACGAGTGGTCCCATTGAGATTTTACAAGTCAATACTTCATCCATACAAACAAGTGACACTCCACAATACATTCTAAAACCAAAAGCGGAATGGTCTTGTGAAGATAGAACAAGAAATAACTTGGACAATATTGCCAAGGATATTTTGTTTAAATCTATCGATGACACAATATTCCCAAAAGTTCAAAAATGTCAATCCGCGAAGGAAGTTTGGGGAACGCTCATTCAAATTGGTGAAGGAGACGAGCAAGAGAAGGATAATAAGCTCACTATAGCATTAAAGAAATTCGAGGATTTCAAAATGCTAAACGACGAGAATATTACCGACATGGAAACAAGATTTGCCAAAATCTTAGGAGAGATTAATGATCTTGGAAAAGATATTAATCAAAAAGAATCTCACTCAAAATTCTACGTGGTCTACCATCTACATGGGACATGAAGGTCACGGCCATGAGAGAAAATATGGATCTAAAAACCCTATCAATCGATAAGCTGTTCAGTGATCTAAAAGCCTATGAATCCAAGATGAAATCAAGAGTAGAAGAAGATCATGAAGAAAGGAACAACGCACTCATAGCCGAGCAACCATCAACCTCAAGGTCAGTACAAAATGTTGAATTATTGCCTAATGATCAATTTGCTCTCTTTGTCAAGAAATTTAGGAAATTCATGAAGAGAAGCAACTACAAGAAAAATCCACAAGGAAAATCGTGGAATACAACAAAGAATTCGAAGAAAGAAATAGTTGAGGAAGATTCAAATTTGTGTTACAACTGTAGAAAGCCTGGACACTTTGCAGCAAGTTGTCCACACCCCAAGGTAAGTAAAAGTCAATACACAAATATTTCTAACTCTCAACAGGAAGAATTCAAGACCAAAGATAAAAGGTTCACAAAGGAGAGAAGAAAAGAACTTATTAGTGACCCACTTGAAATAAGTGAGTCAGAGGAATCTTCAAGTGATGAAAGTGACACCTCAAAGGATGACAATGCAATGTTTTGCATGAGTATTTCCAACAACACGTCCTACGAGGACATGTGTCTTATGGCAAAGGAGATGAAGAAAATGAGGTAACATCTAATTCTTATGACTCTGTAAATTCTTCATTTTCTA